TGATGCTGTATGTCAAGATGTGACATGCTCCCATGCATCACACATACACATATACATTCTGCGATTCAACCTTGATTTTTGTACTGTTCTTCTCCATTGGTACCTTCAGAATTGGTCCCTTGTGTCTTGTAGCTGCTGCAAACAGGTGGAAATCTTGAGTATTTTGTGGTCAGTGCTGTAATGTAGGGACTGGTACTATACGGATACCTGCAGGGCTGTGAACACTGTCTGTGCTTCCCAGGTGAGCCCCATTCGGAACCTCTCAGATGGGCAGAAGTGTCGTGTGTGCTTTGCATGGCTGGCCTGGCAGAATCCTCACATGCTTTTCCTGGATGAACCCACCAACCATTTGGACATAGAAACAATAGATGCTCTGGCAGATGCTATCAATGAATTTGAAGGAGGAATGATGCTTGTCAGCCATGACTTCAGGCTCATCCAGCAGGTAAGGAGGGTAGTGAATTTTGGCAAAACACTTCTAGCCCCTTCTGAACAGAGACACTGAAATGAGCTGTTTTCAACTGATTTGCTCTAACTGACTCCCAAACAGTGTGTGAAGCAAAAATCGTTGGATATGGTTTCTCTGCTGTGTTCGTGCTGAGTGGTTATGTAGTCTAGAAAAAAATCACTTTAATATAAACTAAAAAGCTAAGAATAAGTTTAGTACAAATCGTGACACACTGTGGAGCTTTTAATTAGATTTTTTTAAATGGTACTGGATTAGTTCTACCAGAATTTTCTGTGACTGAGTCTGCCGAGGTAAGGAAATTTGTTCTTGGTTCCACATACATGGAAATGTCAGATACTGGTTTTCCAACTGTGTTTTCTTCTGCAAATTCAGAGAGAATTTTATTTTTCTGTGCAAGCAGTTCAGCTCAAGAACTACCTTTTCAATTCCCAATCTGGAAAGAAAGGATTGTTTTTTCTCTTAGTTCATGAATGAAAAGGAAATGTTGAGGGGTCAAAGATTGTTGGTTCTAAAATCTTGAAGTGTAAATTGTTTAGAAAACACTGTGTAAGATACTTCTATTTGACAGTTTAATGCGTGAAAATTGTTAAACTACTTCATTACCAGCTGGTAGAGGGTAGATGTTGATTAATTTTATCACTTTGATAATGTTATGAAATACTGTACTATAGACCTCTCCTCCCTCCTCTCCTTGTGTGTTTTCAGGTTGCACAGGAGATCTGGGTCTGTGAGAAGCAGACAATCACAAAGTGGCAAGGAGACATTCTCGCCTACAAGGAACATCTCAAGTCAAAGCTGGTGGATGAGGATCCGCAGCTCACCAAAAAGACCCACAATGTGTGAGCTCTAGAGCAGTCGGCGAGGTGTTCTCTGTGGAGACTGACAGTGGCCAATGTGACCTCCCACCTGCCGACTGGAATGGGACTCTGCTGCTATCTCTGTGGCTATGTTCTAGGATTGCTGCAATACTGCTTCCCCCTGACTTGCCTTGCGCTGTACATCTGGACGGATCTCCTCTCCTAATCTGGCTACATTTGGGCAACACTTCCATATTTAGATGATGTCCCATCTAGAGCCAGGCCTTGGAATCTAATGGCCTGGGGTCTTTGCAGTGGCCATTGGCTGTCTGGATTGCAGTGATGCTGTAGTGGAGACCCCAGCCCAGCTTTTCTCACCTTCTCCTTCCCAATTTCTGCTTCCGTTTAGATACTTCACTTCAAACTTCTCTGGCCTTGGTTTGTTTTTAACTATTATTTAACGGTGTAATTAACAGATCTGCCTGAGAATCCAGTCAATAAAGAGGGAAGAACAGTCTCCTCTTGTTTTGTGAGCTGTACTAGTTTTCGGGGCATGGTGGGGCAAATTAGCGAGTGTTGAGTGTGTGTGTGTGTGTGTGTGTGTGTGTAAGGAGGTAGGGCGCTCCCTTAGGGTGTTTTTTTTCCAACTGGTGAAAAAAGGGACCAAGCCACTCTTATTTATTTATCAGATACATCTCTAAATGGTTCTGAGGATTCAAAAGTAGAAATAGGGAGTGAAAGGGTATGTTCTCTGCAACAGGGCAGCTGAGGTATATACTCTTCACTTCTGTTTATATGGGTCTAATATGGTGTTTGGATGTTTGGACTATAAATTAGTTAATTGATCCTTGCACGTTTGAGCAAAACTAAACAAAGTTATTTTAATATTTATTTTTGCTCTTAATACCAAATTTTTATAAAAGTTGGTGCTTAAACCTCACCTTGTGCCACAGAAGCTTGAAACTTAAGTAATTTCTTGAATAAAATACATTTTTCCTGTATTTTTAAATGAAAGTTACTTCAAAAAAAAGTAGCAAGACCAAAATACTTATGATCACAGTTTTTCATTTTAATTACTTTTAGCATATGAGAATGGTTACACTGGTCACCTGAAAAGTTCATATAAGCCGCTGCCATGTTCCAACAGTACATGTATATAAAAAAAGCAAGACAAAGCGCAAAGCTTTTATAGAAGCACAGGACAAAATGCAGCTGTACTTTCTTGGAGTACTCGAGTGCCAATTATTTGTGGCTCTGACTTTCAGCAGAATACTTGTTTTTTTTTTTCCAAAGGAACCATTCAAGTTGTGGACTGCTTTGACAGATACCACAGTAGGAGTTTTCTGTTCCCCTTCAAATTAAACATGGCTGTTACTGCTTAAGGTGTTAGTTCCCTACACCAGAGAGAGTGGTTAGGAGGGCAGGTCAGTACATGGTAATGCACATGCCTGCATGCTTAAGCAGGGAGAGTTTCAGCCTTGATTTAAACTTGATCTGTGGTGACAGTTTGTTAGACTGCACTGAAGCAGCTATGGCAGATGTGTGTCCTGCATTACTGATTGCTGTGGAAAAGGCAACCATCAGCCAGAGCAGCTGCATCTTACACTGTCTCAGCTAGGACTTATCTAGTTGTACACAAAAACAGACTTAGAGCTAGACAAATGGTGATGAAAAGTGTTCCTTAGCTCCTCAGAGGGTGAGCTCTGTGAAAGAGATTAGAGGTTAGAGCCTCTACTCTGCTACTGTTGTTCATAGTCCAGAAGTGAGCTACAGCCAAAAGTGACGTATGCTGTTGTCTGCACAGGGCTGTGGGACTCTCAGCCTTTGTTGTGTTGAGAGTTCACCCATATACTGTGAAAAGAGCAACAAGTTAAGCCAAGCATCCAGCTTCCAGAATGGACAGCCTCCAGTTCCTGCAATCCATTAAAACAGCTGTGTGTAAAAGTATGAACAGAGTGGTAATTCTCCAAATCTGGGACGAGGTTTGACTATGCTGCTCAGTGGATGAACCTTTCTCCTTGCTGTATGATGACCACCTGCATTTAGTGCTGGTTACCCGATCACTGCTCAGCGCTTCCTTGTAACTAGACACATTGTTAGTACCTCCTAAAGTGAACAGTGTTAGGAAAAGACAGAGGCCTTGTGTTTATAACTGCAGTGCCAGTCACTGCTGCAGCTAAGGAGAAACACCGTTTGTAAGACCCAACGGCTCCTTCACCACTCAAGCACCTCTGTGTGTGATGACTAGTGGAAAAGGCAGAACACTTCCAGGCATCGATCGTTCCCTCCTGGGTTAGTGAGCAGCCCCCCAGACCATAGCGATCTTGGCTATCACAGCCCTGTAAACCAGCTCCCCAGGGGAAGCCCACACCATACCTGACCAGTGCAGTCCCTTAAAAAGTGGAAGTGAGGACAATGTTGGTTCCTTCCTCACAGCTTGAATCAATCCCAAAAACTCCTGACGCTGATAGACATTGCTTAATAAGCTGCTCCCTTTCCTAGAACAGTCCTTACTGCCCAGCTTCTGTGACCAAGCACATTCATCCCTAATGACCCCTAAACAAGCCAATGTAACTGTTCCAGCCTGCTCTGCATGGTCACTGATAGTTGAGTTCTTGGGTGGAAGAAGCAGCGTGACCACAACACCTGGACCCAGCTTTTCACTGTCATGTTCATTTGCACTTGCAGCAAGCACCCATATGCCTCTCCATGAGGACAAGCCTGGAATGAAGGTGAATTTGTGGGAATGGTACTGGCTGCAGGAGCGCTGGCAGCGTAACCCACATAGTAGGTCTCTCACCTGAGTCCTTTGGAAGATGCGACCTGCTGAGGATGGGCTGTGCGAGCAGCATGAGGTGTGGCCCAAGCAGGGGCAGAGCACAGCAGCACATGCTGCTGGTGTCCCATCCGCCAGGTATTGCATATAACCCTTCACAAGAAAAGCAGTAGAGCTTGCTGAAATAAAGGCTTCCTGTGCTCTTGCATCTAAGGAATAGAAAATGCTGCTGTTTTGTTCACTTCTCTGCTCTGTTCACTTTTCTGCTCCATTCCCTCACTCTCCCCCACCCCCAGCTTAGGTAAATTTCTGCATAGTAGTTACCATCACTAGCGTGGTCACTACTCTCCAAGACGTCCAACACGACTCAAGGCACCAGGCTCTCTCCCCCACTGCCTTGCTCCTATCTTCCTCCAAGAGAGCCCTTGTGCATGGAACGAGTGGGACTCTCAAGCCCAGGACAGCCAAATAGCAGTCGGCAGGGAGGGAAACTCCCTGCAGGATATTCATACTGCTCTTGCTCCATCCCTAAAGGTCCCACTCACTGCTGAACAGCCGCTGACTTTGCTACCTGCTCCACAGTACAGAAGAGGTCCTACCATCTCATTCTGGGCACAACTCCCCCACTGCTCTGGTTTCCAGCTCCACCAAAGTAGAACTCTGCTCCTCCTAAAGCCCTGGATGGGCTTGCCCTCAGAACAGCTCTTCTCTGACACTCCTGACCCATGTGAACAGGGCATTGTTGCCCTAGCCTGCATCTTTGCCCTGCTACCCTGGCCTGTCTGTCAGCTCTGACCTCCCCCTGCATCGGGTCACCAGGTCCAAGGAGAGATGTCCTTCCCTCCCACTGCTCAGAGGCTGCACCTGTGGCAGGGAGGGATCTGCCGCCTGTGCTATATAACCACCTCGGCCCCAGGCAGGGGGTGCCTTGCTAGAGCTGGCTCCAGGAGAAGCTGGGATGAGTGCTGAGGCTGGAAAGAAGCATGGCCATGCTCCTGTCTCTGGGGACAAGAAGCCTAAAAGGAAGCCAAAGAGAAAGGAAACCTATTCAGTCTACATCTACAAAGTACTGAAGCAGGTGAGGAAATACTTCCCTATAGCTGCACTTCCCTATGGCTGTTTCTTCTTTCAAGAAGAAACAGTAGAATTGCTTTTACTTGCTCTTGCTACAATGAGAGGGGAGAAGCACCTGCTTTTCACTAACTTGAAAAGTGAGTGACTGGGTAGAAGGGAGGTGAGAGGAGCAGGAGAGAGCAGCCCCTGGAGGAGATGGCTCCAAGGATGTCTAGAGCAGCATGGTCCTCAGGAAAGAGCTGGGGGATATCTGTGGGGCAGGAGCAGATGCTCTTGACCTGATGAGTTGAGTGTTACAAACCTTCCCCAACCTGCAGGTTATGAGCACCCAGGGTGGTGCTGGGGAGATAAGAAAGGAGCTCATGGAGGCAGCTGTGAGTCCTCCAGGCCTCAGCCATCTGTATGGGCCTTGGAGCAGGGGGTACTTCTCCCTTGGCAGTGGGGTTCCCCTAGGGCCTTGCAGCTCTGAGGAGGGTGGCAGTGGGGCTCGCTAGCCCAAGCAGGGGTGTGTGGCTCGAGCCCCTGGTGGCTGTGGGTCCTTGGAGGTGCTGCTGCCCTGTGATGGCAGTGGGGGCTGTGTCCTGTGGAGGCCAGAGGCCTCCCTACCTGGGGAGGGGCTGACGCAGTTCTGGCTCCTGTTGGCAGGTGCATCCTGACACTGGCATCTCCTCCAAGGCCATGAGCATCATGAACTCCTTTGTCAATGACATCTTTGAGCGCCTGGCAGCAGAGGCCTCCCGCCTGGCCCACTACAACCACCGCTCCACCATCACCAGCCGTGAGGTGCAGACGGCGGTGCGGCTCCTGCTGCCGGGGGAGCTGGCCAAGCATGCGGTCTCGGAGGGCACCAAGGCTGTCACCAAGTACACAAGCGCCAAGTGAAAGGGGCGCAATAAAGCTGCGCTGCTCCTGCTGCTGCATTCTGTCATGGCGCCGCCAGGGTAGGGCATTGCTGGGTGCCGGGGTGGCTCTCTGGGAGCAGGGCCTGGCCTGGGGCTCCTCTCAAACTGTGGCTGGACTGTGGGCCCCTTGGGCTGCCCCCCAGGGTAGAAGGTTGCAGGCAGGTGCTTCCTTCTGGCAACAGGTCAGGTCTGGGGCTCTGGGAGGGGCAGGGGGCTCTTGGGGAGCCCCAGGAGCAGCCTCGTCACAGAGCCTGGCTCCTTTCCCTGCTGTGACCTGTTGGGCTGAGGGCAGTGCTGCCTGCACGGGTCTGGCAGGAGAGGCTGTCCTGGCTGGAGTGGAGCCCTGCTGCAACTGCTGCTGCCTGCCCAGCAAGAGGAGCAGGAAAACTTCTTTTTTTCTTATTTCTTCTTTGTTGGTGGTACATCCCCCCCCATACATGAGCCTGGATAAGGAGCAAGAGGAACTGTGGGCTCTCAGCAGTGAGAGTAAATTTAGTGTGCTGCTTCTTCAGGAACCTACTGGCTTTCTTAGGGGGGTAAGCATGAAAATCGCTGGTCCTGACCCTCACAAGAAGGATGAATGTGTTCAGGAAGAAAAAGCTTGCTCACCCTTTGGAATGCTGCTAGCACTCTTATAGCCTAGCACACCCAAGCGTGTGTTGGATTTGTTTTGGCCACTAAATCTGAAAGGAGGATTAAGCACAAACATCACCTTCTGCATGCCGCTCTCTATGGCCTGGAAGCTGCAGGGGCATCTTGGGTTGGGGGGTGCAGGTTGGAAGCTTAATTCAAATACAGTGTTGGTGTGGGGCCTAAATACGCTGCAGTGTTCTACAGCATAACCTTTTCCAGCTCAGTCATCTGTATTTTTCTCTTCTTAGAGAAGGTAAGAATGAACTAGTCACTTGACTTGAAGTTGGTGGCTCTTCAGGCTCCTGAAACAGTTTTCATTGACCATGGGACTTATGGCCAGGAGCAAGGAATCAAGCAAAAGAGGTGGCAGACTTGTGTGGATGACTAGGCAGCTCCTGCAAAACTCCAAACAGAAGAAGGAAGTATACAGAATGTGGAAAAGAGAGCAGGCCCCCTGAGGAGCATAAGAATGTTTTCAGGATATGCAGGGATGTAGTGAGGAAGATTAGGGCATGTTTGGAATTAAATCTGTCAAGAACAAGAAAGACTTCAAATATGTCAGTAGCAAAAGGAAGACTAGGGAAAATATGGGCCTGCTGCTGAATGGGATGGGTGCCCTGGTGACAAACGATACAGAAAAGGCCAAGTTACTGCCTTCTTTGCTTCATAGAATCATAGAATCATAGAATCATAGAATCATAGAATCATAGAATCATAGAATCATAGAATCATAGAATCATAGAATCATAGAATCATAGAATCATAGAATCATAGAATCATAGAATCATAGAATCATAGAATCATAGAATCATAGAATCATAGAATCATAGAATCATAGAATCATAGAATCATAGAATCATAGAATCATAGAATCATAGAATCATAGAATCATAGAATCATAGAATGCTTAGGGTTGGAAGGGACCTCTAGAGATCATCTAGTCCAACCCCCCTGCATACGCAGGGACACCTAGAGCACGTGGCACAGGACTGCATCCAAGCGGGTTTTGAAGATCTGCAGAGAAGGAGATTCTACAACCTCTCTGGGCAGCCTGTTCCAGTGCTCTGTCACCCTCACTGTTAAGAAATTTTTCCTTAAGTTCCTATGGAACTTCCTTCAGTCTTTCAGTCTATGGTTCCTTCAGTCTTTAATAAGGCCAGCCCTCTGGGATCCCAGACCCTGGAGACAAGAGAAGAAGCCTGGAGAAAGGAAGACTTACCCTTGGTTGAGGAGGGTTGGGTTACAGCTCACTGAGGCAAACCTGACATTCACCAGTCCATGGGCCCCCATAAGATGCCCTTACGAGTGCTAAGGGAGATGGGTGATGTTGATCTTGTTGCTAGGCCACTCTCCATCATCTTTGAAAGGTCTTGGAGATCAAGAGGGATGCCTGAGAACTGGAAAATACCCATTGTCACTTCAGTATTCAAAAAGAGTGGGAAGGAGGACTTGTGTCTACTACAAGCCAGTCAACCTCACCTCCCCCCCTGGAAAGGTGATGGAGCAAGTCATCCTAAATGCTGTCTCTAAGCATGTAGTGGGTGAGAATCTGATCAGGAGTAGTCAGCATGGATTCACTGTGGTTAACTGACCTGAGAGACTTCTCTGAGGAAGTGACTGCCTGGGGAGATGAAGGGAGATCAGCGGATGTTTCCCTTGACTTCAGCAAGACTTCTGACATTGTCTCCCATAACATCCTCATAGGCACATTGAGAAAGTGCGGGCTGGCTGAGTGAACAGTTTCCCAGCCTGGGAAAGGAGAATACCATAGGCAGATGTGGATCAGTTAGTCTGCTATTAATCCCAGGAAAATAATGTAAAACCTGTTCTGAGACTTTGATAAGAAATTAAAGGATTGGAACATAATTATGGTTTCTGGAGAGTAGATCTTATTTGAACAAAAATGAGTTTTTTTGGCAATGTCAGATTTGTTCTTTTTAAAAATTAAAAAGATGCACTTTGAACTAACAAAAGACAGGAGAAAAAAATATAGCTTCTCTAAGGGCACCCTATAGTAGGTTGATGCCTCTGACTTACCTACTTCTCAGTAAGTTGAGATCATCAGTGGAGGGTTGTTTTTTTTTTTTTTTTTTTTTAAATGGAGTCCTGCAGGAGTTGATATTTTGTCTGATCAATTAAAAAAGCAAAATATCTTGTGTTAGAGCCCAGGTAACAGTCTATGTGAGAAAACTGGACCTTTCAGGGCTTGCAAGGTGGTCATGGGTCTCATGAGCTATGCAACTCTGCTGGGCACCTGTCCTCACTGATGTGGCTCAGTGGTGCTGATGAGATGCCTGGCGAGGCACGTGCGGCTCCCAGAAGGGGTTCAGAAGGCAGCAAAGGTGAGATGGGGCCTGTGATGCTTCCTTCCAGCCCTGCTGTTGCGCTGTGGGGCTGGCTGCAGGAGATGGGCAAGATGAGAGGTAAGAGGCTGTGCAGGGTGCTCTGTTTCCTTTTGACTCTAGGAGAGCATTGAAGAATACTCTTTTCTTCCTAGAGTGCTGTCCGCAACCTAGAATTTGTCCTGAGCACAGGCGTCAGAGCAGCATCACATCTGACAGGGCTGCTCTCCTTTTCTCCTTCCCCTATAGCCCCTGAGGCCAGTTATGCTGAGGAAGAGGCTGTGCAGGTGGGGGAGCAGATGTGTCAGAGCTCCCTGTAAGCCAAGTTCATGGGGGAGATCGGGTGTAACGTAGCATCAAAAGCAAGCCTGAGAGAACGGGGCCAAGGAGCTGCACTGTGAGCAGGCTGCGCTTTGCAGCCAGGTTGGCCATTCATGTGCCTGCCCAAGCTGCTCTGCCGCTCCCTAGGTCAGAGCGGTGCATCCCTGTACCCCAGCCAGGCACACCCGCTTCCCCGGGCCCAGGCTTAGGCGTGTGTAAGACGAGTGCTTGCAAATAGCTGGGAGCTGCAGTTCTGCTGCTGCCCTGGAGATGGTTCTCTCTGACTACCTGATGTCAAACATACACCCTTATAGTGTGCAGCATGACTGAGAGCCTGGCGCTGCCCAGTGCCGAGCAGGCTGTTTGGGGACCACATAACTTCGTTCTGTGGTGCTCTGGCTCCCTGATCAGTTGCAACTGCCCCCTCGTGTAGGTAAGATGCTGACATGCTGTGAGAGGGGAGCAGCTGTAGAGCATTGCATCCTGGATGAACCCACAAGGTGTTAGGCTTTAGTGGTACAGATACAGATTGTCCAATACTGGCATCTGAGGATTCCACTCCTGCTTCACGTGCCTTCCCCCAAGGCTGAGAAGTATTGAGTTGGCTCCATACTCCCCATGCATCCTTCTGTGCCCTTGCAGAAAAGGGCAGCCTGCCCTGGAGATGCACTGAGCAGAAGAGGCAGGAGGAGATGGTTTTTCCTGGGATATTTTGTGCAGATTTCTGCCCAGGTTGTTCTTTTCTGCATTTTCTGTGTTGGCAGGGCCACCCATCGTTACATGGGGATCATGACACTTGTTTCTCCCATCTGCATGGAGCCATCCTGACAACCTGCCCTGCTTGCCACAGGCTGTCCCTATCTCCTGAGGGACCACTTTGCATGTTTAGCCCTAATGGGTACTTTCTACAAGGACACTTCCCCAGCTTGGCTTCCACATCTGTGTCCACCTGTGTTGTTCTTATGAATCTCTACACATGTTCATGGATCAGCAGCAACCCCTTTTGCATTAGTCCATTCTTCAAACCCACAGAAAGAACACTATGGTGTGAGAAACTAAGTGAAGTGTTCATGAAAATGCCAGCAACATCTCTATTCCCCACTTGTTTTTTTTTCCCTGCAAGTCAGCAATGACTTAAATGTCTCTGCTCTTTTTGTCTCCTGAGGTGGGGGATCATGGGACAGATTATCTCTGTACTATGATGAATGGTACAGGTTTGGAGAGAGGAAGCTTTTGGGGGCAACAGAGGCTTGCACCAGTGTGCAGACCTGCGTGCATCCCTCTCCCCACGTTGATGGGTCTCTTTATAGCAGTGCTGCCAGGTGGCTGCTCTGGTGCATCATTAGCCACTGTTCCAAATAGCACCGGCAGGAGTGGTTCAGCACTCGGAGGAAAATGAGCTGGTGATGGATAGCTCTGGTGATGCCAAAGTCATTAAAATATGAACCTCTGATGAAGTGCAGCCAGCGTTCCAGTGCCTGTATCAAGAGGGAGAATGTTTCCATCCTCCCTGTGCTCAGGTGCTGGAGGCAGAGTGAGGGGACAATGTTGCTCTTTGTCTTTTCCCTTTTCCAGTTTGGGCTGAGAAGGCTGCTCTTCTTAAATATTGGTGGCTCCCTAACTGGTGGTGGCCTGGAATCCCTGTCTGGAGATCATTAGAATGATGCTCAGAAGTCTCACATGC